TTATTCTACATTTTTATGATTTAATTCATTATTACTAGCTAATGGATGACTTACACAGGTAAAGATCAGCGCACCCAGCGACGCATAGATCAGTTCCAGAATCCTGCTGTACAGGAAGATGCAAAGGATCCCAAAGAACAACAGGACGATGAAGCACACGAACAGCACCCCGTAACAGGAAGTGAAGTCATACTTGGTCTGTGATTAGACAGGAGATATTCATGAAAATCAGATTACGTAAATGACAGCACTAACACTAGAGACGACTAAAAAACAATACTATTTTAGTACATTGTTCTCTACACACGCATGAAAGCAGACACAGGGTTATTATTATCGATAACTAAAGGTACTTAAACTGAAATAAAAATAAATCAAATTAAATGTATTTTACTTTAGCTAGATTTCAAAGCAACATTTACATTATTGAGTTTAATTTCAAGTACTAATAAATAAAAATGAATAAAAACGCCATAGGCATATTTTAAAAAAGAAAACAAAATGAGTAAAACGTCAGTAATGTGCTAAATTATGTGTTATTAACAGAAAATATATAAATAAAATTGAATTTAAAAATATGAACAATTTACAATAGTGGCCAAAAGTGATGTCATTTTAATGACCCTGCAAGTTTGATTAAACCATGAAAATATGAGGACAATATTTGATGTATTTGAAATATGATTAAGGTATTTATCTAACAAAATTGTTAGAAAAAATATCAAACTTTTCACGTTTTGGTTGTGTTCATGTCATGTGATTCCCTGCTTGTCATGTGATCCTGCCATGTGTCTTGTCATTGGATAATAATTTTCCTAGGCTGGACATCACTTTCATGACAATCTCTTGTTTCTAGTATTTTTAAAAATCTTGCAATCATTCATAAAACATGGCAATTCTGGATTTGAAACCCTGATCACAATACATGAAAGTGTGCGGTTACTCACCTGTAGAGAGAAGATGATCACCGTGAAGCAAACCACGGTCGTAATGCCGGCAGCCATCACCACGATCTCAGTATCGTAGAAGCTGGATATCACCCCGACCATGTAGGACATCGCCAGTGTCAGGATCGACTGAAGTGCAAGAAATCATTCAGTACGGTGCATGAAAGGACAATTAAAAACGTTTTCTATTTAAATCTGTTTCAATCAAAGGTTCACCAGAGAAACGAGGTTCCACGGATGCTTCCGGCGAAAGTCTCCGCAGCAGAGGATGACCAGGTAGGGCACGAGGAAAACTATATAGCCGACCCAGTACGTCCACGTGTTCTTCGCCACAAACAGTTTGACGTGAGGCTCAAAAGTGAAGAGGGCCACGAAGCCACAGGTCACTGCCAGCTGCACACTCAAAACAGCGAACACCTGAGGAATAACACAACGTCAAAATTCATTAACCCCAATGGCTAATCATTATCATATTATTTGGGCTCGCCCAAAAAATGCAATTCATTTAGCAAGAAGTAGTAGCAGAGATTGGGATAATTATGGGAGTAGAGGTGGATTTTTCATTCATTACTATATATTTAGTTAAAATACCAGGAAATGTTTTAGATAAGGATAAATATTAATTAAAAATATTGTTAGCAAGCAGTAGGAAAGCAATAACCTGTAAATGGTTGCAGGTTGACCCTACAACTAAGGATCAATGGCTAGGGATTAGGGCTGTCAAACGATTAATCGTGATTAATCGCATCCAAAATAAAAGTTTGTGTTTACATTATATATGTGGGTGCATTGTGCATTATTAATTATTAATATAATTCTCAATATATTAATATAATATAATTATTTTGTATATATATATACATAAATACACACACATTTATATTTAAGAAAAAAAAATATTATTTATATATAAAATATTTATATTTATATATAATATAAATTATATATAAATCTACATACAGTATATACATGAAAATATTTCTTAAATATATACAAGCATGTGTGTGTATTTATATATATATATATATATATATATATAATAATTATACACATTTCACCCACACATAATTTGGAAAAAGAAACTTTTATTTTGGATGCGATTAATCGCGATTAATCGTTTGACAGCCCTACTAGGGATTATAAATGAAATATACAGTATGGAGAGGCCTACTCAAAGTTGACAAATGTAACAAGTTTTGGAAAAAAATGCATTATGTACGTAAACCATTAAGGAAAGTGTGATTTTGTATATGAAGAGTTCAGATGCAAAAGCCTCTAAATGCCATTTGAAATTTTCTTCTTTAATGATGATTTTTATCAAACTTGTATATTTAAGTTCAGTAATTTCACTTAAATGGCAATGATAATTACCTATTAATTGTTATTTAAGTGAAATTACTGAACTTAAATATACAATTTTGATAAAAATTATCATTAAAGAAGAAAATTTCAAATGGCATTTAGAGGCTTTTGCATCTGAACTCTTCATATCAAGATGTTGGAATTATTTTGTGATACTGTCTGATATTGTAGCATCCATGATAACTTTGTGTTCTTCGTTCCAATAAAAGAAAAAAAATAATTGTTGATTTTTAACGGGTCTCCTTGCACAGTTACTATAGTTAACTAAAACTAAAACGTCATTGCTTGAATAAAAAATAATATATATAAATATTAGTGTTGTTAAATCAATTAATCGCGATTAATCGCATCTACCATCTAATCGCATCTAACATAATTTTGTAAATATTTATTTAATAAATATACCCGGTGTATGATGAAGGATGTAAGAGTAGCGTAAGCTTAGGTGAGAGTAAACACTTCTCAGGGTTCAAACAAACAGGGCTGGGCAACAAACGTAAGCGTCTCTTTAAAAGTTCTCGTTTTAGACTTAATAATATTAAGTCTAATTCTCGAGCAGTGTTTTGACGAATGCACTTCCGCGTTCGTCAATAAGCCTTGCGTCATGTCAGAGGTCACTCTTCCCGTTCCCGGAAGCCAGTGATTATATTTTATAAAGTAATGGATATTTTTCTTAAAAAAGGCATGGCTTCGCTTCAGAAGGCCGTTATTATCCCTCTGAAGTCGTGTGGATTACTTTTTTGATGGCTTCAAAATCAAACGTACCATTCACTCCCATTATAAAGCTTGGAAGAGCCAGGATATAAGTCCGATTGTGTAGTCATATACACCAAGGATGGCATGAGTAAATTATGGGATACTTTTTGGGTAAACTAACCCTTTAATAATCATAAGACATGATGCTGTCTACAGTATGCTTTCCATTGAACTTGAATCTTGTTTTCAGTGTGTTGAATCTTTTTATGGGCGCTGTCATGAAGGATTGCTCCGTATCAGTGTTTACCTTTCGAATGAACATCCTTCTGATGATTTTATTATCGAGTCCAAAGCTTTCAAACTGGTCCTTTTCATAGTCTGGAGATGGCCCGTTTTGCACTGGATCACCCATTGCCGCTTCTTTCACAAAACAAAAGTTTATTAATGTAGTAGTACTCCCTTTAGTGATAAATGAGAGTGAGAGAGTAATACTAAAGTAATAAATTATAAGAAATAAGAGATTTACAAATACTTCAATATTTTCGAGACCCAAATATGGTGGGTGGTCACATTAACAAAGAGGATCTATTAAAAATTCCCTTATGTGAGGTTGAATCTCTTACCATACGGAAGTGGTTGTTCGTACGGTCCAGTACTGTACGGACCTGTGGCGTAAGGTCCTACTTGAGGATACGGTTGCTGTGGATATCCAGACCCTCCCTGTCCGTACATGGGATTCCCAAAAGCAGGTGGTGGTGCATATGGGGGTCCAGCAAATCCAGTAACAGGTACTCCAGGACCCACTCCTACTTGAGGAACACTGGCATCATAAGAAGGGGGAGGCATCATGAAGCCTGGCGGGGCAGGCTGATCCATGGTGGTGACATGTGGGGGGTTGTCAAAGCGAGTGTATCCATTGTTTTGTGCCATGACTGGATCTCAGTACTGTAAAATAAACACACACACATATATATATAAACAAAATACAATACAAATATAATACATATATAATTTTTATAAAAAATAATGTTGAGTAATTTTCCCAGACTGATTATCAACACTCAAGTGTTCACTGAATGAAAATCTTGCAGTATCTAGAAAATAATTCGAATAAAAACGACAAAATACATTTACTATAACAAATGTACATTTACTTTTAATGACTTAATCATGTCTATGCCTTACCAGGCCTCAAAATCGGAATTTACGTCCAAAAAAGTGGTGTAAAAGTACAACTATAAAAAATATCCGGTAAGACGGGCGTCGAGAAAAATTAATAATATTCAATGTGAATATACAAATGGTTACAGTAACAAAATAACAATGTAAGAGAACAAAAGAGACGAATCAGTGTAATATTGCGCAACATGACACACTTTCGTTTTCACTTCTTTGATGAAGAGAGTATATAAACTTAACTTACATGAAGTAGAGTTGGGTTTTCGAACTTAATTAACACACCTTATCGACTAAAATAGAAGATTCGTCATTAAAAGTCAGTTTTCTTTGATAAACACGAACAGACCTCGACTCTCGTGAACGTCGTGAACGCGCTTCCCTTTAGAGAAGTGTCCAGTGCAGCGCGCCGCCTAGCGGGACACAGCTGACGCTGCATCGGTGTGCACATTGTATTTTATATTTTAATATTATGCATGGGTATGTCTATTTCTTATCATCTAAGTGATTTTAAAGCAAAAAACTCTAGCTAAAATAAATAATCTTAATTATTAAGGGTAAAGGATGTTGCACTGATAGTAACTTGACATCGCATCCAGCAGGTGTCAGTGTTAACCACATGTTGCTTCATATTTTTTAGTTTTATTGTGTATTTAGTCCTTCCTTTTTTTTTTAAAATCTGAATTTACGTAAGAGGGTATGTCTACAGATTTCTGCCTTATGAGTCTAAAGAGACTTTTTACTGCAGAAAATAACTTTAATTATTTAATTAAATTACTAATAATTATAACAAGAGTTCAAAAATAAGTACACAGAAAATAAGTGAGACAAGATACTTTTTAATAAATCATCCGAATTGTTTTTATACACATTTTATCAAATGTCACTCACTCGCTGTGATACTGCAATATTTAGCAAATGCATTTTTATCAACAGAGCGCAGTGTGTAAATAATGACCTACAGGATGACTGAAAAGCAAACTTTGTTGCAAGCGGACTGGTGTTGTTAGATATGGCCTTTTAATATAAAAAATACTTGGACATCAATTGTATTTGATTGCAATTATTTCCTTTCGCCAAATTCCACAGTCCCTTTACAAATATACACAAAGGCAACAACCAATCCAATGGCATTCCCTTCCATTTATTAACCATAATAAGGCACATAGTGTGATGATCAGTAGGCCCACTGACATTGAAACATACAGTGTACAGTCTTTCAGTAGTGCCCATAGCTTTTATTTTTGAATATTTAGTTCTAAATATAAAATTGACCTTTTCTATAGCCCCAACAGATGTGCAAGTACAACTAAACATTTCCTATCAGTTACTATGAGATGTAAGGCACAGAGTAGCTGAACACTGTCTGCAGACACAGTCTGTCCTTTAAGGCACTTTGTCTTGTTTCCTAACCCAAATACATGATAATCATTTCAACAGTCATGTATGCAGGCTCATGAGGTTATCAGAGGTCATGCCTGTGAGATGCCAAGGTAGCTGTGAGTTTAGGAAAATAATCAGGCATCCATCAACATATATAGAGATGAGACACAAATAATGGATGTGTGATGCATTAATGGCATAATTCACCAAAACGCATACATTCTGTCATGATTTACTCACCCTCATGTTGGTCAGAATTTAGTTCTGTGGGAAATAAAAGCAGGAATTTTGAAGATTTGATGTTTATGTAGTGTATCATTTCTGAATATGATGGTTTTATGGTGCTTTTTGCCCACTTTGGAGTGTAAATAGCCAAGTCTCATTTCATAAGTACATAAGTTAACATGAACTAACAATGAAAAATATTGTTATATTAACATCTAATGTTAATTCCAACATCTACTAATACATTTTTAACATTAGTTAATACACAATGTGAACAACACTTACATAAACAAATATGAATTAATTGCTCATTGTTAGTTCATTTTAGAAAATGCATTAACTAATGAGACCTTATTGTAAAGAGCTATTCATTTTGTGTTAAGGTAGGCTATACGTTTTTTTAGTGACATGAGGGTGAGAATATTCCTTAAATACTTGTACATAAAGAAACTAGATTAGAGTTAATGAACAGCATCATGTTTGACAAGCTACTTCTTCTCCGTAATAAATATTAAATACTACAAATAAAATGACGAGAACATAATAATCACAAAAAAAACGGAACAATAAAAAAAGTTTCTTTGGCTGACGGACACGGTAAAAAGTGGCACAGTCACGAACGGTCAAAGGACCGGGTTTCCTCCGGGTGTCACTGCATGCGGTCCGTCTGGAGCGGCTGCGGCTGGTACTGAGCGAAGGCTGCCGCTGTGGCCCCGGGCGCGGGAGACGCGAGAGGCTGCTGGACGTACCCGTAGCCGGCCGTGGAGACGTAGCCCGCGGCGGCGGGCGAGGCAGCGTACGGGTACTGGTCGTAAGCGGCGGCGGCGGTGGCAGCAGCGGCGGCGGAGTACTGCGCGTACGCCGCGCCGGTGTAATCCAGGTACGGAGAGGCTGCGGCCGCCGCTGACGCCGCCGACTGCTGGACGTGCGGGATCACCACGCTCGGCTGCATGAACGCCTGCGGGTACACATAGTGAGCAGGAATCCTGAGGGACACAGAGATGCTGGGATTAAACTGGGAACCAGAAAAGCTGCACTTCATCAGAGAAAACGCACAGTGCACTAAAGGGTTATTCAAAGAAATAGGATTGCCACAATAGTAGTAGAGCATGCTGGGAAGACTCAATGATCAGCTGTCAGTCATTCTATCCTTTCACTTTAGAAGATGCAATGAACATTTTCAAGTATTTTACTTGTTTTGTACTGTAATGTTAAAAATACCAATGGGCCTCGTTAATGAAGTACAAGCGTGCAAATCATTTTCACATTCAATTTACTGCAAGAACTGACCTAAGATGGTAATTTCTACTTTCTATGTTCTATGAAGTTCGTAATAAATTATAGTCTTCATTTATTGTTTTATATAGTATTTTTAATACCAGTCTTAGAACATGAAAATGTTTCATTCATTAAATATTATATTTTTATAATCAAAGACTAAAGTAAACCATTTCAAAATTTTAATGTGAAAATGTTTTATATAAACGTGTCATTACGATAATTTGCATCTAAATGATCACATGAATGATCATACATTGTAAATCGACTCATTGCCGGCGATGTTATGCCCTAAATATTACATGATTAACTAAATGTATTTTTCCATGTACTTTTCTGTAAAGCTGCTTTGAAACAATATGTATTGTGAAAAGCGCTATACAAATAAACTTGAATTGAATTAAAAAAATAATGTTGGTTTAACTTAAAAAAGTAAGTAACCTGGTTGCCTTAAAATTTTAAGTTGAATGAACTGGAAAAATTGAGCTAATACAATGAAGGAGATTGATTTAATCATCAGAAACTCAAAATAGTAAGTTTTCTCAACTAAATCAATTATTTAAGTTGATTTGACAAAATAAAAAATGTTGTGATAACAAATCTTGAAAATATTTTTTTACAGTGTATAAATTTCTTCATATGTCGGATCAAATACGACATATAAAGAAAACTTAAATCAGTATAAAACAGTATTTTGATTTGATCTATCTGATCTATACTGTTTGCATAGGTAAAATTAAGCAAAAAGTGCGAAAATATTATCGAACTGCATTTAAAATACAAGCTATGAAATTATTTGTCTTAATACAAAAGACAAATTGTCTATTTCCATCAAAGAATGAAGGATGATTTGAGAGTAGTGGCCGGCCTAGGAAAATAGACATCTTCACCCTTTTAGCAAATATTACTTAAAATGTGTTTTTAAAGATTTTGTAATAATATTGTGAAATTGTGCTTTATTTGTGATATGATAACACAATAAAACAAAGCCAAACTGTGCAGGCATCATTTTTGCCAGGGCTGAAATTATGAACACAAGGGAGTACCAATGAAATATTGATAACTGATTATTTTGGGGGGGTTTGCATAGTAAAATAAAACCTGTAGCTGTAGTTTGCCTTTTTTTGTCAAATAATCTTGTCTGATAAACACCTCAATCAAGTGTTTTGCTCTTCTCTCATATGCAAAATATAATAATAAAAACAAAAACAAATGTTCCTCATATTTTGATGGTTTAATATTTAACCAAATATCCCCTCTGGACATCACTTTTGGCAACTAGGCCAAACATGGCCATAGATTTAGATTTATGCCTGTTTTACACAGACATTCGTTCTGCTTGTAATTCGTGCATGAGGCTTAATTGGTGAATCACAAAATGAATGTCATTAGAGTCACTACCAAGAGTCTAGCTGACCATTTTAGCTCTTAATGAGGATTCAAATGAATGCTCTTGTGTTAATTATCATGGCAAATCTATTTCATTTGCAAACTCAGCATTCAATCATGAGTCCACGGCCTCATATTGCCTCTCAAATAAAATGCCCGGGTAAAAGTGACCATGGATATCAAAGCATATCGATCAATATCACAGCAGGAAAAAAAAAAAAAGAAAAAATAGAGCGACACCAATTCTGCAATCATAAACAGGGTCAATGTTACTGTCAAACCAAACAATATTTAAGAGAAAGAAGAGAAATCCAGTTAACTCACACACGCAAAAAAGATAAAAACACACTGGCGTGCGTTCACTGCACACAAACACAACGCTGCTAAACGCACTGAGAAACACCAGATCTACTTCTGAAAATAAGGGATAGTTCACCCATAAACCCTGGCATCAATCATCTCCCTCAAACTATTCCTGTTTCTTTCTTCTGCAGAACACAAAACAAGATACTTTGAAGAATGTGTGTAACCAGACAGTTGACGTTATTGTATTTCTATGGAAGTCAATGGGATCCATCAACTCTTTGGTTACTCATATTCTCCAAAATATCTTCTTTTGTGTTGAGCAGAAGAACTAAACTCATCCAGGTTTAAAACAACTCGGATATATATATATATATATATATGCACTGCATCGGCGATTTGAAATGGCAAATAGTATACAGTTAAAAAACACATTTCACCCCAATAAAAAAAGAAAAACAAAAAGTAAAAAAACCCCAGCATATTTTACGTAAAGAAAATGTTTTGTTTTACAAAAGTGACATTATTTTCAACATAATTATGCATTAATGCATCTTTCTTAATGATTCACGTTACTGTAATACTACACAATGTATTTTACTGTTTTATAAGTTTTTTCTTCATTTAAATCATTATAAATTAAAGGCAGCACAGAAAATACTAAGGAAGCTTGTTTCCACAAGGAAATTGAAAATAAAAAAAAAAGAAAAGAAAATTGTTATTGTGACTTTTATGTCATAATTCGAACTTTTACTAAGAATTGCAAGTTTTATACATCTCAGGTCGGACTTTATAACTCGTAATTACGAGTTTAGATCTCACAATTCTGAGAAAAAGTCAGAATTGTGACAGTCACAATTACCATTTTAATCGTTTTATTCAATGATGACGGAATTTATTTTGTTAATTTATTAATTTATTTTCTCACAATTCCAAAATTCGTACTTTTCACAGTCACAATTACCTTTTTATTTTTTTTTACGGTGGAAACAAGCTTCCATAAAATACTACAATGTTTTTTGAAAATGACAAACAAGTAAATATTTTTTTTTTTGATAAACTAAAAACAAATAATGTCACAATGCAAAAACTAAGTAAATAAATAAGCTCAAAAGTTGATTCTTGTGCACAGCTGTCATTAAACAGGACACACACTTAGTTTCAGGACAGTGGCCAGTGCTTTTTTAAGCCAATCAAAAACATTCTTCATCTGTGAATCATTTTCCACATACGAAATACAAATCAGCATTAAGTCTGGTAAACACATTGCTAATCTAAATGGCTAAATTGCTTAATTTACCTTTATTTGACAGTGTAAAGATGCTAGAAGTCATAAATTCTAAAAGGGGAAGGGCTTCATTTCTGACTCTGAGCCAGATAAATTGCAAAAATAAATCACCTTTAAGACCAGTCCATGTTGCCGGGCAGATTTTATTTGTATTTTTCCATGGCTAAAATAAGTCCTAACCAGCAAGCATGCAAAAACAACAGGTGTTCATGTTAAATCTGGCCATTGATGAGTCTCTAACACACCATTCCTTACTGTCAGTCTGCTGGAGTGACGGGACAGGCTGTGGCGAGGCTATTTTCTGCTGCCCTTGCCATCATAAAACGAGAGCGTGAGCAACGCTATCAGCAACACATGGCCCAACACTTTAACCCAGCCCTGAACCCTTCATTACCAACACACACACGCATTACTGCACACTATAACGTGTGTAAAGGCAAAACGGCCCATTAGTTTCTGTTACGACTGGCCGCATTTTAAACGTTTTTTCGATGTACTTAGTTATACTGATAGCTACTCATTTTACTACATGATTTGCATATAGTGTAACATTTTACAATGAGGTCAGGTCACTTTAGATGAACTAACAATGAGTAATACATTTGTTACAGTATTTATTAATCTTGGTTGACATTAGTTAATCAAAATACAACTGTTCATTGTTAGTTCATGTCAGCTCAGCTCAGGTTCATTCAATTATATTAACAGATACTTTATTGATTTTCATAAAGTAAAATGTTGGAATTAACCAATGAATGCTTTAGAAGTATTTTTATTGTTAGTTCACGTTAACTAATGTAGAAAACTCATTTTAACAAATGGAACCTTATTGTAAATCGATCCCGCACATAGTATATAACCATTTTCCTGTTAATGAACTGAATGATTCGTATATATGCAGGAATTTCAATTAGGTGAGATTTAATTCAACATACACTCTAAAAATGCTGGGTTGTTTTGACACAACTTTGGGTCAAATATGGACAAACCCAAACATTGGGTTAAAAATGTAATTAAAAAATGTAACCCAATGGCTGGGTTTGTCCATATTTGAAATATTAGAGTGTATTATAAATGTGGTGTAAAACTCGACTCAATTCCGAGCACGTCTTTGTTAAAAATACCCCTGTTACTAAGCAGAGCCGGCAACTTTCTTACTACCAGGGATAGGGCTAATTTAAGGTACTTTGTAAATCACAGAAACAGAGGGGCTGATCTCTCGGGTACACGGATCGCGTGTCTCTGAACACCTGTTGTCTCGTGGCCGCTCTGAATGCCGTTGTGTTCCAAACTAAAGTTCAGCTGTTGTCTTTGGTTCAGTCCTCTGAGGGATATATGTTCTCCTTGATCGGTACGAGTTGACTGAATCTTCCTAGATTAGAAGGACAGAAGTAACTGTGTACTGGATTGGTCAATAGTAGTACAATACAGTTGAATACTGTGGTTTCTTAGGCCCAAAATATTCCTTACACAAGTACATCAACACACGTAACTACGCAAACTCTACATGTTATTGCATAACAGATGTCTTGCATTCTAAGGATTAAGCTTTAATAATAATAACATTTTATGTATAGATTGCCTCAAGAGATAAAAATGACAAAAAGCATGTTTGTTGCAGCGTCCTGAATATGGTTTAATGATGGTTTAAAGGGATAGTTCACTTTGAAATTAATTTTTTATATGTTTTAGCTTATCTCAAGGGCATCCAAGATGTAGGTGTCTTTGTTTCCACAGTATTTTTAAATTTCGATATTTTTAGGTCAAACCGTTCTTGTCTCTCAGTCATATAATGGAGGTCTATGGTCACCACCTCAAAGAGCATGCACAGAGAAGTCCAAATTAAACATGATTATGCGCTTGATTTCCGGCGCGTACGCAGACCGAAGCGCCTGTGCCCTCAGAGTACTTGGACGTGACTGATTACAAGAGGTAAAAACGATATAAATACTGTTCGTTTTCTCACACAAACCGTTCGTTTCGTGTCTTAGGCCATCAGTGTGTACTTACATTTACGAGTCATTAAATCATGTTTAATTTGGACTTCTCTGTGCATGCTCTTTGAGGTGGTGACCATAGACCTCCATTATATGACTGACAGACAAGAACGGTTTGACCTAAAAATATCAAAATTGAAAATACTGCGGAAACAAAGACCCCTACATCTTGGATGCCCTTGAGGTAAGCTAAAACATATCAAAAATTAATTTCAAAGTGAACTATCCCTTTAAACCAAGTACTGATGTACTGAAAGTACTGATGTTTGATGTTACCACGATAATTAAATTTTTTAAGGCAGTATCGCATACATCCATTGCAGATAAGGCAATTCCACAGCGCATAGCGACAAGCAAAGGAGTGAAAGAAATGTCAATTAGAAATAAAGTAGTGGCCAAAAGTGATGTCCAAAAGGGAGATTTGTTTTTAATAACCCTACAAGTTTGATTAAACTATCAAAATATGAAGAAAATATTTTATATTTTTTAAATATCTTAAATATGAGGGAAGAACAAAACACTCGATTAAGGTACAAAAAGCTCACAGGAAAAAGCAAACATTGACTACAACATAATCAGATTTTAATATTTCGTTGGTTCTCTCTTGTTTTTGCATACGTTTCTTTGTATGGCAGCCTGGCCTAAAATGATGTCGGCACAATTTTATTGCGTTATCACAAATAAAATTATTCACTCCAAGCACAACTAATATGATTACAATATATTTAATACTATATAAAGAAAGTGTGAAGATGTCGACTTTCCTAGATCATCCGGACATCACTTTTGGCCACTACCATATACTTGCAACACTAGAAATCATTGATAATATTTGTTTTTGTTGTGTATTCTATGCTTATTAAAATATCTAGATTTGAACTCTGTTAAACTCAATTGAATGTCCAGTTAACCACAATTTGAAAGAAACAGAATTGGCGCTAATTCTTAATATTATTTTTCCACAAAAAGGTTTAGGGAAAAGTGAATGTAAGACAGTCAGGGTAAAAGACAAACGACTCATTAGTAAAATAAAAGAACGGAGGCACATGAGATACACTGCAACATGCAAGCCATGAGTTGTTTTGAGGGTGAGCCAGTCAAGAAAGACAAACTTTGACCCCTTCAACAACAGAACACTGAAACGTCTGTTCAAGTGAATCAAAATCAGTAAGAACAAGCTGTGCACAATCATCAAAAAAACGGAAAAAGAAATTCCCAGCACCCCAAGACAAAGAAACGACCGTCTCCCCGAATCCCCACGTCCTACTATACACTCATTTCTATTAAAAGCACACGGTTTAGCTATGAAAACCACTTCAGACAGGTCCAAACGCACACAAAAGCTACTCTCCAAAAAACAACAACAACGTCCATGCAAGCTAATCACCATTTGAGAGTGTACGTGTTTGAGTCTACTGGTAGAGCTTATGAATTCTGACTTTGTTCAGCTCGTTCACCTCTTAGGTTATGTTAACCGAAAGAGAGCCTGTCAGATCAGAGAGAGACACATTACATTGAGTCACGCTGGAAAGAGGAAGTGACAGACGTAGACTTTTCAGGAGTTGACAACAGTGCATATAAAACCACACAACAACCACAAAGATAAAAAAGCACACGCACACACCTCATAACCTGGCGGAAAGGGGGAGGATACAGTAATGGCGAATGCTCATCCTCACTATCTCTATGACACAAGGAGAACACAGAAATCAACATAATTATACTTTACAGAATATTGCAACATGTAGGAATATGATATTGTTGGTCATTACACATTTATCTTTAAAGGTGACGTGTGTGATGTTCGAGTATCACCGAATGGAACTGCAAAAAATTTTTCCAGACATCTATAAATAATGCTAATGGGTCCATGTTGCTACCTAGCAAACACAAATATATACTTAGAATGTTTTGCTAAGTCATGAATGTTCCCTGGACTTTCACAATGTCCAGTTTTGTTCTTGGTTATTTGAATTTTAAGGGAACATTCCATTTTAGAATCTTTCAAACATAAACGTTACTTTTGTATCAAGTAGATGAAAAATGCTAGACCAACTAAAAAGATTTCGAACAAAAATTCTCTATGAACAATGTATATAATAGATAACAGTTTTGTACTAATGTTCTGAGACCAGGTAACTCTGAACAAATCGTTACTTGGAAGAATAACTTTCTGATTGTTCATAAACATAACTATGAACTTTCAGAATGTTGGTCAAACGGCAAAGTTCTGAGAACGTTCCCTTTAAGCTGGGTGTGTCGACTCGTGACCCTCAAATAAACATAACTATTTACAAAGAGTGACTCTTAAAGGGTTAGTTCACCCAAAAATTAAGAACTAAGATATTTTAGATTTAGTCCTAGATCTTTCTGTTCCTCCATTGTAAAAGTATGTACGGTATACTGTCCTTATTCATAAAGGAAATACAGACATCATCAAAGTAGTCCATGTGACATCAGTGGGTTAGTTAGAGTGTTTTGAAGCATCAAAAATACATTTTGGTCCAAAAATAACAAAACTACGACTGTATTCAGCAATGCATTGTCTTCCGGTTCTGTTGTGGATCCACGTTCAGTGACGCGGCTGACATGTGTCTGGTGCGGCTGTGCTTCGGCTACAGTCTGATGGAGACGCGCGCTGTACAAAACAATCTTCGCAAACATGTCTAAAGATTTCCACAGAGGAAGACTTGCATTTTTTTTGCCCAGCCATATTTATTTGAACCCGAATACACGTCAGCTGCGTCACTGAACGCGGATCCACAACAGAACCGGAAGACAATACAATGCTGAATAAAGTCGTAGTTTTTGTTATTTTTGATGCGTCAAAACACTCTAACTACCCCACTGATGTCACATGGACTACTTTGATGATGTCTTTATTTCCTTTCTGGACAAGGACAGTATACCGTACATACATTTCCAATGGAGGGACAGAAAGTTCTCGGACTAAATCTAAAATATCTTAATTTGTGTTCTGAAGATGAACGGAGGTCTTACAGGCTTGGGACAATGAGAGCGAGTCATTAATGACATCATTTTCATTTTTGGGTGAACTAACCCTTTAAAGTGTGATACAAGAAATCACTTAAAAAAATTAAAATCACACGCATCACCTTTAAAGAAAGTCAATGGTACAAATTTGTCTAAGATGACAAAATGCTGCTTTTCCCATATCACATTTTTACACAAGAGAATGTAGAGAACGCCTAAAACTAATCAAACTACACACAAAAAAAATAGTCTTCAATAGTCTATTCACACTTACCCATAAGGCCGTTGGATAAATGTGGGGTGTATCTGAGGGACACCAAATGAAAATCCTGTAGAGAAAGACAACCTTATTGCACTTAATTTTATATTTACATTATACAAGAAAACCACATAGAATGACTAAGATAGGCTTTATTCTACAAGGGACATTCATATTAATTTGATTACAAAATTGTTATCATATGTATCGAGTAACATTTCGTATTTTTCTTTATCACATTTGACAAATAATTCTGTGACAATTATATAAGCATAACTGTATTCACTATGTAACCTTAGATTACACACAAATGATTTTTCTTCTTTAGAAACCACACACAGTGTGATGCTCTGTGCCATGCAGCTTGTCTTTATTGCATGGTTTCTGATACTCTGCATTAGTCCGCCATCAGCGTGAAGTTTCTGGTCAGCGGCGCGTGCCCGGGCCTCCTTACCTGGCTGCATGATCCGTGGTTTGGCCCCAAGGTACGCCAGGTTAACGTTGGCTTTTCTACCATCTATGATGGGGTTTGGGTCCTTACAGGCTCTTTCTGCAGAAGCTCGATCAGCCATCGTCACCTTCACACACATGAAAAGAGGAACACACAGATACATGCGGTGTTTTCAATGATGGTCAATGTGTATGGAATGGGTTGAGTGTTTAATATGGGAAGTGATGGCAAGCAATGTTTGGCTCTATAGTTACGCTAAATTAAAAAAAAATACTCTAAAGTCTACTCTAAAGGCTCTAAAGTTACTCTATATTAAAAAAAATAATGAATTACTAAGCTACTAATTACATCTTCAACAGTGTAATTAAAATTACTGTACTCTCTAAAAAGTGCTGCATTACTATTCACTTTCTAAATCCCATTTTAACCTTGACCAGTTGAACAATACAAGGACAGACATGAAATTGCTTTTATAAATAACATAAATTGTTCTTGAGTATTTAAAGGGAGATTGTTACATTAAAAACACATTTTATTACATTACATTTTGATATTAAATCCGCTATTGTATACACAGTATATAGCGGTTTAATCAGAAGTAGCTTAACTGGTAATAAATTACAGAAACATTAATAGGCAATCCCTTACTTTACTTTTTCAAAGGAAAAGTAATTAAATTACATTAATTAACTCAGTAATGAATTACACCAAACACTTGACTGCAAGTCAATCTAGACTGATAGAAAGACAGACAGACAACTTACAAAACCATAGCCTCTGGATTTTCCAGTTTGTCTGTCAGTAATGACAACAGCTTCCTCGATTTCTCCAAACACTTCAAAGTATTTTCTGAGGCTGGAGTCGGTGGTGTGATACGGAAGACCTCCGACGAAGATCTTGGTGTATGTGGTGTCCTTCTGAGAGCTGTGCATCCTCACGACGGGGCGCGCGCAGTTAGGCGAATCAAACAAACAGTGCAAAAGTTTCACTACGACTGGTTAAATAAACAACAACTCGTATTCTTGGAAGGTATCAGTAACAGAGGTATGTGACAGCGCAAATTATTTGATACGAGGTAGAATAAACCACAGCAAACAAATGCGTCTGTCAGGAGAAGGAACTTAACTACATGCCACATGGTTTTGGTGGCTCTCACTCACACGCGGACAGACTCCGCCCATTCACAATTCCACCCCGCCCACTATCAACATAAACCACGCCCTCATGTTCCCTGACTGAGGTGACCACATTTATTGCTAACTCACTTTCATGTGACTAATCATTTTGTAGTTTCAATTTCAGAATATTTTTAGTGCCTGTTGCCAGTCCAAATGATCTTATTTGAACTGCAGCAATGATGTGATGCTTTGTCCCTCTATAATAATGATTTGAAGGAAGTGTTTACCAACCAACAAACAAATTGTTAGCATATGTGCTCTGTGCTAAAATATTAGAGGTAACTTTGTAGTTATTAGGATGTAGGCCATGGGTTTAATTCCCCAAATATAGCGTGAGCTCCTTTAGATAAGAGCATCCAGCAAATGCATAAAAGTCCTTCACAGTATTAGAGATTCTATTGCAGATGTTCCCTGCTTCAATCTGACACAGTGACCTAGTGACTTTACATGATAATGCAGGTCAAAGTTCAGACTCAGAGTTACTCAACCTAATTCTTGTGAAGACTCAGAAGACAAGAGTTAGTACAACAATCTTGCCGAAATGCACACCTTGGTAGCCATTTTCTGTAACCAACTTCAAAAAAATTATTAATTCATTCATATATATATACATATATATATATATAAATAAATTGTGTGAAAAAAAAAAAGAATTCTAAACCTGAATTCTGGTTAAAATGTTTTTTTAAACTGTTTTTTTTTTTTTTTTTTCTCAAACTACATTTTTGTTGAAGATTAAAGGTGTAAAAAAATACAAGATAATAAGTGAATAATTGTCAGGGATGAGATTTTAGATTTTTTTTAAATCTCACAAAATACAGCAACAAAATTGGTTGCTGTATTTTGCTATAAAAAGTATTTAAATGAATAGTTCGGATGAGCAAACCTTTCAAATCAAATAGAAAACAAGCAATAATACGTCATGCAAAGGAAGAACACACAAAAAAACAGCATTTGTAAACGTTCTGTAATCTACAACATTTTTTGTACCAGCATCTGCAGAGATACAATATAAATACAATTCTGTACATTTTATAATATTGTAAATACTATGTTCATACATTTTATGTACAGCTCCTTGTCAAGGAGAGCAGCTTTGTTTTCTTTTAAGTAAGGTCTTGGGTTTTTATTTAACCGTCTCCAATGACAGCAAAAGTATTCACTTCTTATGAGATCCACAGTTCTTTAGGTAAAACAGAGCAATAATAACAGTACTGGTCATGGCACTAAACATACAAGCATTATTCAGGCTGTGTCCCATTCCCCATCTCCCATTTATACCTATAAAAAAACATTAATATTGACTTTAGTATCACAAACTAATAAAATCTTTCTTGACAGTCAAACACACATGGATTTAAATGCTCGAAAGCTTCATTATTAGGCGGGTAAACCTAGAAGTCGATTATCTAAAAAGTCCCCGTTCATGTGGGGCTTGTGTCAGTACTTTAGGGCATTTCTGGTCTATAGCCGATACAAAGCAGATCAGATTATCGCCATTTTGCAATAATACCGGCAAGGGTCTGATAAAGAAAACAAGGTGCTCTCCGCATCAGGTGACAACAAAAGTTAGTCACTTCTGTCAACCTCCTGAGAAGCGTCAAATCAGTATCTGAGAATGCGTAAAAATTCGTGCATTATGTAACTTAATGTGCATCCAGGATAAGTTACTCCAGTGCAAGCGTTCGGACAGCTTTGTTAATAGAAATATTGGCAGTCCCTCAACAGTTACAGTACTCAACAAGCCAATTACGCAACAGAGTACGAGCAACAGGCTTGGCGTCCGTTCAAAATACCATTAAACAAAAAAACATCAACCAAAGTTTTGAATATCCGATGGGCATGTGGTCTTCTATCCATAAAAAATGGCACTTAGCATATTAGCATAAATCGGTCGAACAAATACAAGCATAAAACACGTTGCCAAAGTAAGTTTGCACAGCAGATTTGAAAGGCTATGTCTTTGGTAATACCTGATATAATAACACAAACAAAAATGTTCATAAACAGTAGTACATTCTTACCTAGAACAGACATCCAAATCTCAAACTCACTCAAAGTATATTTTTTTTGTTAGGCATTGTTTGATTAATACACTTAGTCATATAAGAAGTGGTGAAGAATTAATGAAGATGGAAATTAGTATTTCAGCTATATCAAAGCTAACATGATATATAAAACGTGTTTGTGCAACTGTGCAACTCTCGACATTCAAAGATGATACTGAAATAAGCCTATAACTTCAGCACAACACACACAGGTAGTGTTTATTGCCACGGAATAAGAGGAATCAATAAATCTCTGATGAAGGATGGATTCTGTTAGCACTCGGTTTGTCCAGGCGGTTGCTGGTGCTGGTGTCGAAGAGATCGTCTACCAACTATTGGGTCAATGTCCTGCCCCTACTGGAGCACAGATTGAGGTTCGGTGTCTATGGACGGAGGCCCTCGAGTCAAACAGGATGGCTTCACGAAGACGCCATGACCTGTGGCACACCGGAAATACACCCTTCCCTGGACCGTACCATTGTGCTTGCCTTTGGAAGGATGAGAAAGGTCTAAGGTTAAAAGGATTTTGAGTTGAGATTCAAATCAAGGTTACAAGGATCTTGGCTTGAGAGCAGGGGCGTAGGAGCAATTCTGAACCTGGGGGGGACAGTAAATGCTAGGGGGGTCCAACCAAGTCTTGGTTATTTAATTTTGGTTTAGTCTTATTTTCCTTACCTTGTCATTTAAGGCCAGGGCACTTTTTGTACATTTCTGGAACTTTTGCCCGCTTCCACATCCCGTGCAACTACGGATCTCCCAGGAACATATTGATGCGTACATTTATCTGTGTCACCTAGATGCGCATGCGCGAGCGGTGCGCGATCATGGTCGACTGACGACATAAGCAGCTGAAGAATACGGCCGTTGAAGAATACGAATGGCGCCGCCGGTGTACACTCATAATGTGTTCGAATTTTAAAGATGTGGTGCTGAGCTTCTCGTTTGGTGTGCGACGCCCTTATAGACTCTCCGCCGAAACCCCCGTTTCACTGTTGCTCACGCGACGGTCCTGCTCGAGCCTCGACGCTTACGCGCGGCCACTGCTCGCGGTGTGAATGAACGCACTCATTGATTAACATGCCGAAAGGAATAGAGCAGGAGCCGGTCTTGACACGGGGTTCAGCCATAGCTATGTTGTTTCTAGCAAAACGTTAGGCTAGTGGTGTGTCTATGCATAGCTACAAAAAATAAAAAAATAAAAATCGATATTGCGTTTCTGAAAATCGATACAGTATTGCAAAATAAAATATCGCGATACTCAAGTGTATCGATTTTTTCTTACACCCCTAGTTTCCACCGCAACTACCAGGAACTATTTGTCCCAGGAACTTTCTTCATAGGAACTTTTTTTTGCCCCAGACTGCGTTTACACCGCAGGCTAAAGTACCATTCCGGGGCGGGAAGATTATAGTGACGTTGAACTGCGTGCGACTGCTCATCCCAGTCTGCGCGTTTCTTTGAGTTTTGTATGGAGGAGATTCAAGCTGTGCTGCTTTTGTGTGCGACTGGTTTACTAACGAGGTAATTAACAAAACGGCAGAAAAGAGACGAGCACCCAAAGCGTATTCAGAAAGCTCGTAATGCTAGATATAAAAGTAGACGTTTGTTATCAGCGGACATTGACCTGAGATGGATGGGACGAACGCGCGCCATCGGGCAGAAAGAACAAGTGGTAAGAACCAATCAGCATGTTCAACGCACAAGTCCCTCCCCGAAAGTTCCCAAACTCTGACAAAGTACTACCTCGCCAGCAGGGATATTTACCCGGAACTTCATTTAGACCCTGGTTCCTGCGGTGTAAACACACCGAGTACCAACCCAAAGAAACGCGGCTTTAGATTTTGAAATGTGGGGGGACATGTCCCCCCATGTATAATGGCTCCTACGCCCCTGCTTGAGAGTAATTTCACTTACCTACAGCAAGGTCCAACTCCACTCCAACCCAGATTCCTTTGGCAAACTCTACCCCTCCAACATAATGCACCATCCCACTGCGTTTGCCCACCCACACTTGCTCACCGGGGGCCATCCAGTCCGGCAACTGAGCAACTGGTGTGTTCTCGTCCTCACTAGAGTCCACCGAGAGCTCTGCATCCTCGAAGAACTCAAGTCCTCGAGATTCTTCCAGCTCTGGGTTGGCGTGAGGTACAGGAACACTGGGAGACTCTTTTCCATTGTGGAGATGGCACTGGGACGGATGATCCAGGTCTTGCGTTTTGGCTGGGGGAATTGATTCTGCCTTCAAACTAAAGTTACAGAGGTCGTCTTCCCCTAAACCTTCATCTGCACCCTTAAAGTCTGTGAATTCTTGGCTGACGCTCAGGATACTTTTGTGGGGAGGCGAAGGGGAACGGTCCTGGTCGGTGCAAAGACGGGAACAGTGCTGAACGGTTTGGGCTGGATAGGATGATATTGAGGGAACGGTCTCGGTTAACAAGGCACTTCTGGAAGGATGCAACCCTCTTCCGTGCTCCTGAGGGTCTGCGGCTTCTCTGTTGTTGAGCTGGTCGCAACTCTCACTGCCGCTGAAGAGCACATCGGACAGCGTGGCATTTGAGGCACTATGGGAGAAATAGCCGCTTGTACAGCTGCTGGCCGTGGGACTACGGGACACTTCTTTATCCGCAACCCGTGTTCCTGATAACACCCCGATCCCAGGCGCCAACTCCCCCTGCACACATACAGTCTCCCCTTGGGTCTCAAGACTGGCGTTGTACACCTCAAAGTTCGCGAACTTCTCTGGGATGTAAGGCTTGAAGTTTTGGAGCTCCCGAGACCCAAGAACTGGAATACTAGAACTGGTGAAGGCTGACTCCATGTTGGGATCCTCCTCCTCTGAATCCTGACAAATCATCAATGAACAGACATGAACCCAAACAGCAAAGTATTTAAACGCTACTGCCCCCTTGTGATGAAACCCTGAAGCACA